AGGTTACAACTTAAATATTTAGCTAGCAAGTTAAATATTTAGCTAGATACCTAAACATTTAAGTTGCAACCTAAATATTTAGGTAGCTAGCAAAATATTTAAGTTTCAAGCTAAATATTTAGCTCAAAACTAAATATTTAAGTTTCAAGCTAAATATTTAGCTCAAAACTTATTTATGTCACAAGTTAAATATTTATTTTGTTAACTAAATATTTAATTTGTAAGTTAAATATTTAATTTGTAAGTTAAATATTTAATTTATAAACTATGACATTTATAAATGGATGAATCATATGGTGAAAAACTGACTTTGAAAAATAAATCTGTTCTTTTTTTCTTATAAAAGGTTAAATAAAACATAAATATTGGTGGTAATTGTTGACTGTGTAACTTTACAAACAGCACCTCATGGAGGAATGCAAGAAGTTTTCATAAACTTTAAAACAAAGTCAAGAAAACACAACGGAACCAGAAATCCACACAAATAAAGGCAGTACCACATTTAACCTGCTGAGACGGGACGATGAAGAGGAGTAGGGACAGAAATGTTTGGATCAAACCTTGACATGATGTCTTCATCCTTCTTCAGGAGACAGGTCACACTCAGGGTCTGAGCTATCAGCACATATGAGGGTTTATTAAAGGCTGGTGTGTGACTCTGAGCTACATCAAATCAAATCTTAGCACAATCTCTGTAAATATGGCTGAATTATCATTATTCTCTTCTCCAAGCTGAAGATGGAGTAAAAGAAATCCACAGGAAGTCCCTGTTGGACGTACACTGTAACAAATATATAACTTAATAATTTATTCCTAACAAAGTTGTCATGTTGGCACAAGTTGTGTAAAACTGTAGTGTCAGAGCCTTCATCTTGGACTGGGTTAACTCTGAAAGTTAATCAGTTATAGATGCAGAGCCAACGGTTACTTTTATGAAAGTTTTATTCAGTGGTGCAGGAAATATTTTACTAACAGACAAAAAGAAAAGACAGAGTTTGACAAAATGACAGCCATGTTTATTTTTAAAGGTCAGCAGTTTGTGGCAGACACATGGAGTTGAGTTGTAAAAGTGAAACACTTAGTGTGTGACTCACATCAGGCTCTATGTTGTGTGTCTTCCTGAGGAACAGCAGTAACGTTGGCTCTGTTGGACTCCAGGAATGTTTAATAAAGCTGCAGTCTCAGGAATAAAAAAAAATTATTTTTGTGTCTGATGATTAACTCCACTACTGACCATTTCAATCAATTTTTGTGTGTTTTTTATGTTAGTTCTCACATGATCAATGAGGACAATTCACTAATTTTTCATATAAAAATGCACATTACATTTATTTATGTACAATGAAATAAAGTACACACAAACAAACAATAAATGTACAGGAAATTTATTTTATGGATTTCTTTCTATATTTTTGTGTTTAGTAATTTGTAATATGTTGATGTGTGTGGGTGGGGGGGCACATGTGGAATATGTTTATCATACTTAATACGACAAACAGAAAGAGTTTCATACAGAAAAATATACTTTTAAATATTTAAAAAACTTTGAAACAGGTCAGTTTGAATTTTAAATATTTAGGTTGCAACAAATATTTAGGTAGCTACCTAAATATTTAACTTAAATATTTACATTGCAACCTAAATATTTAAGTTGCAAGCTAAACATTTACCTTGTTAACTAAATATTTAATTTGTAAGTTAAATATTTAGTTTATAAACTATGACATTTATAAATGTATGAATCATATGGTGAAAAACTGACTTTGAAAAATAAATCTGTTCTTTTTTTTCTTATAAAAGTCTAAATAAAACACAAATATTGGTGGTAATTGTTGACTGTGTAACTTTACAAACGGCACCACATGACCACGTCCTGGTGTCTGAACACAACCAACCATGACGACAACACATGCAGTTTTTCCTGCAGTTGTGAGGCTGAGCCTTGGCACCAGACCACCTGAACCCACATGAAACACACCTGCAGGCTTTATGTACTGAAGAGACCAGCTCCTGATTCATGCAATGCTTTTTGTATTTTATGAGTTTTTATTTCAATAAACTTACATTGTGGGATCATTGTTATTTCTTCCTTTATACCTGGTAAACCTCACCTTTATACTCAGCAGTTTGTCAGAAGTCGTATCTTCAGCTCTTTCAGCCTTATTTCCTGCTCTGTGTGTCATAAATATTTCAAAATGACATCGATGACATCATTAAACAGTATGGTTCTTGTTAAAATTACAAGTTTTGTTAATGTTCGACTGAACTTATTTGTTTAGTTATATATTTATGTATAAGCAACATAACAACCTGTTGTAAACTCAGCTCTGGAAAAATGAAGACCACTGCAGTTTCCCTGCATTTGGTGAAATCATTTCACCAAATCTTGCTTTCTGAACTCTTCCTGAGTTCAAACTTCAGTATTGTTGCTTCTAAATGAATATGAACTTGTGTTCTGAGCATTATTTCATTTTGACCATTTCCCATTTTCTCTAAAGAAATACTAAATTTTTGGTTGGAATTTCGAAGACCTGTTGTTAGTTCAAAGAATAAAATGACTCTGTTCATTTTATACTCAAACGTATAAATGTAAAATCATAGAAACTCATCATTTTAAAGTCGTCTCTTAATTTGTCCAAATAATTCAATTCAATTCTAAATAAATTGTCATTTCGTTTCAAAATAAAAAACAAAGAAAACTTTGTTACATTAATACATAAATTATATCTTAGAAAAAACAAAATGAAAGGCAGCAGAAGAAGAAAACAATCCTGTGTCTGCTCCTTTTGTTCTCAAATATGTTTTCACTTTATAGTGTGATTTACAAATAAACAATACTAATTAAGATTAAAAATAATAAAAACATTAAATGAAACAGCAAATTCTATCAAAGTCAATACTAATTAAAGTTATGAAATAAAAATCTATCAAATAAAACAAAACGTCCCATCGATTCAAATTTTACTTGTTCATATCCCTTCAAAAAAACTGCCTTTAATATAATTTTTAATATGTTCAGAGATCTTACATTCTTTAGCTCATCCTCCAAACCTTTCCATAAACCTGTCTTTATTATCTAAATAATAGTTTATTCTTCACACACAACATACAGCTGTTCGAGAT